GATCTTCTCTCTCACTCTAAATTTATAGTGTTTATATGTGTGTGCTGCGCAGATATATTTCACTGAGCAGTCTTCTCTTATTTCGCTCATCACTTATTGGCCACCGCTGAAACCTTTTAAGGTCATTACAGGAGAACTGGTGTGTTGTGTGTGTGTGTGTGTGTTTGTGTGTGTTTGTGTGTGTGTGTGTGTGTGTGTGTGTGTGTGTGTGAGAGAGACTGCCTTGCTTCTTTTCCCTACACAGACAGCAAGGTTACCTTCTGAAGCAGCATCCCAAATAAAAGGGAACATCATCAGTGACATGTTATTTATTTCTGACGCTGCATGTTGCTAAGATAACAGAACATCCTAAAGGATATTCACACATGTAGTAATTTGCAGTACAATTTTAATGAGAGTATGATGATTTCCGAAAACATGAGCAACAGCAGCTGTTAGCAATGCACTGGTGCAAAACAAATACTTAACCACATTTTTTTTGCACAACATTTCTTACATTTGTACAACTTCTGTGAAAATAAGTGTGCTTAGTTGTATTGAATGGGCACTCATAGTGTACTCCAAATCTTAAAAGTGCATTTTTAAAACACTACTTGCAGATAATATAGTAATATGAATTAAATAAAGGTCCACTTAAGTGCACTTAAAACACTTTCATGACTGAACACTTAAGTGCATTACAAACGTGTAATTACAAATTAATTTAAATACATGACATACAAGATTCAATAGAAATTGCATTAAGGTACATTTTAGATTACCATAAATGCTTGTCAGTACATTCAGCAGTAACACTTTAATCATATTTCCAAGACAATAGAATTATGAAATTACATGTAAAGATGTACTTAAGTCTTAATCATATCAAAAAAGCATTCAATAGGTCAGCTAATTGTATTTAATATACATTTAAACTATAATGCATTTTTAGTTTCCATTAACTTGCAATTAAGTTCCGAAAAACATTACATGTAGTTCTTTTCATTTCTGTATTAAGTAGGCTACTCTTTTTAAAAGCATGCTAAAGTGTTTTTTTTTCACCGTTGCATGACTAATAGTTTAGCGTTTAGTTTTTGAGGGCTCTTCTCTTTGTGTTTCAGGTGGCTTCTCAGTGGCAGTGGAGAACCCTATCGCTCCTCCTCCTGTGATGTCTTCTGCCTCCTCACCTCCATTTTCATTCCCTTCCTCCTCATCTTCCTCATCATCCTCATCGTCTTCCTCTGTGTCTGATCGATGGCCACAAGAGAGACCCCGTCCACAGGGCATAGGACCCAATCGTAACGCTCGAATCCCTCCAAGAACGGACCTCCCATTGGACAATCAGCCTGTGTTCGTGTGGCGAAGAGGCGCGCTGACAGAATGCACTGCTACCTGTGGAAAAGGTCAGAGAATTATCAAAAATGTTACTGTCAGCAAATGATTTCCGAAGGCTCAAATGACACTGAAGACTGGAGTAATGATGCTGAAAACTCAGCTTTGATCACAGAAATCATTTACAGTTTACAATGCATTCATATAGAAAACAGCTATTTAACATTGTAATAATATTTCACTATGCACTTTACTTAAAGCCTATATGTAAAATGCACAGTGTAACAATGAATCGATAAGTGTTACAATGTATTAACTGTGGTTACAATTATTCATGAGATTGTACAATGCATTATAAGGTGCATTTACAAGGCATAATTATTAATAATAATTATTATTATTATTACAGCAGTTGACAGCACACATTACTGCTTTGAGAGGCTCTTCTTTAAACCTGTGATCCGGAGTGGACGTGGTGGATTAATGCTGTGTTTATTTGTAATAGGAGAGCTGGAAACTCTCAGAGAACATGAAACCATTGCCTACTGACATGAAGAAAGCCAAGCGCTGTGGAACAGGGCATGCATGTGCCAAACTGTTCGGGAGTTTCTCTGTAGGGCTGTGTGTGTTAAGGGGTTTCTCAGCAGCTCACCACTGGTTTTGATTAATCTGATTTGCGAGTGTGAATTGGCTCTCTGCCGCCTCCTTCTGGTGTGTTTAAAGAGCTGCAAACTGACACTGTGCTCTTATGTTAGTGGTGTTTGCTCAGGCAAGCATCACCATTACTATTGCTCAAATTTAGAGTTAATGATTTAAACAAACCCCTAAATTTATAGTTCACCCAAAATATTTATAAAATGTGCTCACTCTCATGCCATCCTAGTTGGTTTCTTCATCAGATTTGTAGAAATGTAGCATGGCATCAGTGTCTCAGCAATGAATGCTCTGCAGTGAATGGGTGCCGTCAGAATGAGAGTCCAAACAGCTGATAAAAACATCACAATAATCCACAGCACTCCAGTCCATCAGTTCACATCTGGAGAAGATAAAAGCTGAAACAAATCCAGAATTATGATGTTTTTAACTTCAGATGCATCCATAATCCATAATAACGCTTCCTTCAGTGAAAAAGTTTGATAAAACGCATTAATGGTGGATTTCTTTCTTACAAGCACGCGGTTTTTTGCTTCACAAGACATTAACTGATGGACTGGAGTGCTGTGGATTATTGTGTTGTTTTTATCAGCTGTTTGGACTCTCATTCTGACGGCACCCATTCACTGCAGAGCATCCATTGCTGAGACACATTTCTCCAAATCTGATGAAGAAACAAACTCATGTAAATCTTAGATGACCTGAGGTGAGAAAATGTTAAGATGATTTTTATTCTTGGGTGAACTTTTCCTATAAAAGAGAATAAAAAACAAGGAATCCAAGCAATATCTAGAGACAAGATGATCACATGATTGCCATTTTACACCACTTACCACTAAAGATGCTGTACTATGTGTATGTTTGCTTGTTTTTTGATGTGTGCAAATGTGTTTGTGTGTATTCAGGCTCTCAGTACAGAGAGATTGTGTGTGTGAATCGACACACAGACCAGGAAGTCCACGAGAGGAGGTGTGACTCCGCAACCAAACCTGCGCCGGAGGAGGAGCCGTGTAACGTTCATCCCTGTCCACCATTGTGAGTAACTCTGCATGTGCATGAACAGCTCTTTTTTTTAATTCTCGAAATTAATCATTTTATTCAGCATGGATGCAATAATTTGATAAAAAGTGTCAGTAAAGAAGCAGCACAAATGTTTTCAACATTGATAATAATGTTTCTTGAGCAGCAGATCAGCATATTATACTGATTTCTGAAGATCATGTGACACTGAAGACTGGAGGAATGATGCTGAAAATACAGCTGCGCATCACAGAAATAAAAATACATTATACTATATATTCACATTATAAACAGCTAATTTAAATTGTAATAATATTTCACATTTTTACTGTTCTTACTGTATTTTTTAATCAAATAAATGCAGCTTTACAGAAAAGTCTTCTTTCAAAAACCAAACTTTTGAATGGTTGTATGTATATATATATATATATATCGCGATTAATCATTTTGCATATATATATATGTGTGTGTGTGTGTGCGTGCGTGTGTGTGTATACTAGTAAGTATGTTTATGTATTTATTACCATCTATTACAAAAATATTTCAGGTTAAATACAATGTAAGCTCTGTTGACAGCATGTGTGGCATATAACTTTCCATTAAAAACTGTTCACATCAAACAAAAAGAAGTTCATCCATCTAGAAAACTAGTAACTTTACAGACAAAATAGGAAACAATTTATTTGAATCATGCCTGTAAGGGCTCTTAAAATCATGCTCAGGTTTCTGCTGTTCCACATCCTGCACCACAGACTTTCTGTATGAATATACTGTATTAGGATTGCTGTATAGTGTGTATCTCAGTGAACCTGTGTGTGTGTGTGTGTGTAGCTGGGATATGGGCGCTTGGTCCGAGTGCAGTGTTTCCTGCGGCTGGGGTGTGCAGCAGCGTCACATACAGTGCAGGCAGAGTTTTGGGAATCGCTCAACCATGGTTCACCCTCAGCGCTGCGCCAGTCTCACCCGCCCCAACGCCACGCAGCCCTGCCACCCACGCGTCTGCTCGCACTGGGAGATCAGCACCAACTGGAGCGTGGTAAGACTACAGGATGACTGCAGGTTATGTATTTAGTGTTACTTAGTATATTTAGTACATATTATATTTAATAAATTATGTTTTTATGTTTGAGCAGCAGCTGTGGGGTTTTTTGTTAGACAGTTTGCATTGTGAAACCCTCTTATAAAAGTTGCATTAAACTCCTTTCCCTTGTGCATTCATTTAAAAGTTACACAGAGGTCATTAGAGAAAAAAAATTCATTGTGATTTTTTTTATTTTTTTTTATTTCACTTTCACTGACAGTTTTTTTTTTTTTACCAACATCAGTCCTGGTGTGCGTTTCCCAAAAGCAACTATGGTTGCAAGTTCCGTCATTACCAGTAGAGTTCAATGGAATTAACGACCATAGTTAGCAATGCTTTTGGGAAATGCAGATTTTAACCCTTTAAATGCTGGTTTGTTTACATACTAACACTGTTGTTTTTTTATGGAAAAAATATATTTTCCATATACAAAACGCTACGCAGAATTTTTGAATTTTTTATTACTGCAGTCCTGGGTAAGTCAGTGATTGGAAACCGCATTCATTGTGATGTATGTATTATTTTTTGTGCAGTGTCAGAAAAAAAAGAATGAATAAAAAAACATTAACACACACACACACCAATTTCTCAGTACACATACAAATCATACTCTGATATTCATTCATTTATTTTCATTCAGTAAACATTTTCAAGTCTTGCCAACAGAACGAAAGGCCTATTAGCAAAGAATGCCAGATTGTATGCTTAAATGGCAGTATGGTTTAATATTGCAGTTTTAATGGTTTTCAATTATGACATTTTTGATCTTGAGTGTAAAATAGATTTATGAAGAGAATTTAAAATTCCAATGAAAATACACCTTTTGTTTATTAATTTGGTTGGTTGTTTTTTGCTAAATGTATGCTTTTTGCCTTAACACAGCCAAAAATATATATTAAAAAAATGAACAAATTTCCCTAAGGATACATAAGGCGTAAGGCTCCAATGCAGCTGTACACTGTTTTGGTGCTTGCACTGTTCTTTGTCCCGCCACAAGCTTTGCATTTTTAAGATTAAAAATAGTCTTGTGAATTGAGACCCCTGTATTGTTTCATATTGCTTTCTGTGTAGCTGTTTTTTGTGTTAATGCCTCTTATGAAACGTGTTTGATCTGGGTCAGATGAATCCAAAATCAGGACTTCATTAAGACTGATTAGTTAGTTAGCTAGTTGATAAGGCAACCTACTGACTATCTGATTTAGAAAATGCGGTTTTGCTCTAGTCTGTAAGTGTGTGTGTGTGTGTGTGTGTGTGTGTGTGTGTGTGTGTGTGTGTGTGTGTGTGTGTTTAAGTCTGGTCACATAGCCGTGTTTGATCTGTCTGCGTGTGTACGTAAACGTGTCTGTTTCCCACAGTGCTCAGTGGATTGTGGAGTGGGAAAGAGAACCCGGAGCGTGCGCTGTGTCAGTGACCATGGCAACACTGTGAATGAGAGGGAGTGCAGTGACAGGCTCCACCCACAGCACACAGAGGACTGTCACATGGGTCCTTGTGTCACTAACTGGTACTTCACGGACTGGACAAACACTGTGAGTAGTGACCAGCCAGATTCGTGCTTGCACTTGGTTTGCCAAAAGGTGATTTGATGAAACGATATATTTATGTAGCGATGTGGATGATTGTTTCTCTGTCTTTCTCTGTCAGTGCTCTGCGACGTGCGGGCCGGGCGTCCAGCGGAGAGAGGTGGTGTGTTTGACCGGCGGAGGCACGAGAGAAGGAGACGGAGGAGTGGAGTGTGGGGAGGAGAAACCGGCTGATATGAAGGCCTGTAACGGGGGCCCCTGTACACCCACCCACCTCTGGTACACCGGACCCTGGAGGCAGGTGAGGGCCATCTGCCTACAGCAAATATATATGAATTATATTCCAATGTTAAGGTCTGTGTTAGAATACAATAGAAGAACAAGTCAAAGAATGAAGTGGAATAGAATACAATAGAAGAGAAGAGAATAGAATAGAATAGAATAGAATATTGACCAAAAAAACATAAAATTAAATAGAACAAAAAAATATAATCAACCAATGAAGAATAGAATGCAAATGAATAGAATAGTTTAACATTGCACAGAATAAAGATGAATAGAATAGAACAAAATTAAATGTAAAACAATTTAGAATATAATAGCTGTGTAGAGTAGAACAAATCAAATAGAATGGTTATTTTTAGTTCATTTTTAATAGAATAATGTAGAACAGAATAACATCAAAGGAAACCTAATAAATTTAAATAGAACAAAATAAAATATAATAGAAAATGCTGAATGGAATAACATCGAATAGAATGGAATAATATTGCATAGAGTACATGTAAATGGAATGGAACAAATTTAAATGTAGAATAATTCAACATTGTTCAATAAAGTTAAAATAATTCAATCAGAACATTCTAAAAATAGAACAGAATAGGGAAGAATATAACAGCATCAATTAAACTCTAATGAAACTGACTAAAATTAAATAGAACAAAATGAAATGCTAGAATTGACCAATGCAGAATATAATATAGTTTAATAGAACAGAATGAAGTTAGAATAAAGACGAATAGAGTAGAATAAAGATTAATAGAATGGTGTAGAATAGTCAATTAGAATAAAGTTTAAATAATTACATTAGAACATTCAACAACAGAGTAGAATAGTGTAGAATAGAATAGAATCAGAGAAATCTAATGAAAGGGAATTATATTAAATAAAACAAATGAAATGCAATAGAAAAAAAGGAAAGGAAATGAAGCTGCACAGAATAGAATAGAAGTTAAATGTAGAACAGTGTCAAATTGAACAAAAGATTAATACAGGGAAGAACAATATAATTCGTATAAAGTTAATTTAATTATAAAGAATAATTAACTTAGAACATTCTGAAAACAGAATGCAACAATGTAAAATAGAATTGAATAACATTGAAAAAAAACAGAGTAAAGTTGCATAAAATAAAGACTAGAATAGAATGGAATAGAATAGGCACTGGTCACTCTTGCCAAATTTACACCGCAAAGGTGGCAATGAAGCGCTTCTGAAGTGGCATTTATGCGCCGTTACACTGAATTTTAAGCAGGCACAGAGCAGCCTTACCTCAGCCTTACAGCTTCTGTCTCTGGACTCTCTCTGTTGAACAGTGTAACGCAGCGTGTGGAAACGGCACCCAGCGCAGGGACATCATCTGTGTGAGGAAGACCGGAAGTGACTTCACCGTGAGCGCCGCCAGTGAGTGCTCACACCTGGAGAAACCGTCTCCGGTGCAGCCGTGTGAACTGCAGCCCTGCAAACCGCAGTGGTTCACCACCGAGTGGAGCACGGTGAGGACGACTTCATCTGTCCTGCGGGATCTTCCCTTCCTCTGCTGTCACTGACTTCCCCTCTGTGTCTGTCCAGTGCTCTCGGTCCTGCGGTGAAGGGGTGCAGACGCGGGAGGTGCGGTGTCTCACTGCTGACAAACAGCACAACACAGCCTGCGATCTGGACTCCAAACCTGCCCACGAGCGCTCCTGCAACACCATACCCTGCAGTCCCTTCGAAGGTGTGTGTGAGAGTGTTTTTGCATTCTGTATGATGATTCAGATTATAATCTCTCTCTCTCATCTCTCTCGCTGTAGATGAGAACTGTAAAGACAGACGACATAACTGCGTAATGGTGGTCCAGGCTCGACTCTGCGTCTACTCCTACTATAAGACCGCCTGCTGTGCGTCCTGCACCCAGAGTGCTCAGCGGGCCAAAAGACATTAACCCTGCACAAGCCACAGAGAAGTCAGGTTCAGAGATTTACCACCAGAGCCCAAACTCAGCCAATCATAGTTCTAGCAGAAGAAACAGCCAATCAGAGGCCATTCAGGTTCAAAAGGAATTTCAGGAGAAAATTCCAACTTGAACTGAGCTGAGATCAGGATCCCTTTAAAGAAAGTTTTAAAATGTTACTGCATATGGGCTCATAGGCTCAAATGATTGACAGTAGCTCTCTCCCCATTGATGACGTGTGTTCAGTACACTATACTGTCAAATACTCCACCATTCCTTAAATCACCTTTAAACAAATGCACTGAAGTTACAGGTCCACATTCTGGACACGTGTATGAAGATATTGCTAAGTGGGAACAATTCTAGAAGTTGCCTTTGTGCTTTTGTCACACATGAAGTGTTTCATAACGGTTTACTTTAATTGCAAGTAAGTGGATACAGAATCTGGTATTTGAACTAATATTCTGCTATGATAAAACACGCAGATAAAGCATCAGTTACACACCTAATGTGCGTCCTTCACTCCTAAGTATGTTGCATTAGCACTAAAGACGTACTGTTTTTGTTAGTAAGTAAAAAACGAAAGATTTTACCATTAAAATTACATACTTATTGCATAAAACTTCTGAGCAGCGATATATTTTTACGTAAACATTGATTCTCCGCTCAAAAACAGTGCCTTTGGCCTTGTCTCAGTCCTCTAAATGGTCCTTAAGATATCAGTACTTCAGCAAGGACATAAATATTCCAGCATAAGTGCTCATGACTGTCTAAATATAGCACACTTGGTGCTGACAGTCAGTCCCACAGATCATATCTGAGTGCAGTGTGAACAGAAATCTGCAAATCTACTATGAATCTAGTTCATCATTAAGCTATAAAGAGAAGATGAACATCATGATCTGCTCTTTTTATTTGATTCAGTCTATATTTCTTTAGGTCGGTTTTGTCTGAATGTACATCAGTCCTTTTAGTGTTTCATGTTTTTGTCATTTTTTGTGTGACATGTTTTTGTTGGACTCTCATTCTGACGGCACCCATTCACTGCAGAGCATCCATTGCTGAGACACTGATGCAATGCTACATTTCTACAAATCTGTTCCCATGGACAAAAAACCTCATCTACATCTTGGATGGCCTAAGGGTGAAGACATGTTTAGATAATTTTCTTTCTTTTTTTGTAAACTATTTCTTTAAAATATGGCCATTACAGACACAATAGCATTAACAGTTTTAAGACAATATTGTAAACCACAGAGCAGTTTTTTTGTGCATTTCGTATTGTGTAATATAAGGCCTAAAGGGTTGCTGTGGATATATGCACAGGCAGAATGCATTTAGGGCAGCATTATTTGTGTGGTTTATTCATTGCATTAGTATTAAATATGCAAACAGTATAGTGATTTCAGCCAAAGTCAGGAACAATGCAAGACCATTGCCCTGGATCAAACTGAGGTTAAAATACTCTCTAGTGTTAGAACAGGTGAGCTTTCTGTTACTAGTCCATAGCTATAACCACTTGGCGATCACAATCTCTTATGCAATGAGCAGTATGTCAATGAGCAATTGAATATATAAATGAGTAATAACAGCGATGGGGTGGATTTTTGTTACAGTAACTTGACTCCAATTTACATTTTAGTATATAAATACAGTCAGTTGTGTGTGTGAGTGTGAGTGTGAGCGTGTGCGTGTGAGTGTGTGCGTGCGTGCGAGCGAGTGTGAGTGCGTGTGAGTGTGAGTGTGTTCATGTGCGTGTGAGTGTGTGTGAGAGTGAGTTTGAGTGTGTGTGCGTGTGAGTGAGCGTGCGTGCGCGTGAGTGTGTGTGAGTGTGAGTGAGTGTGAGTGAGTGAGTGTGTGCGTGTGCGTGAGTGCGAGTGCGTGTGAGTGTGAGTGTGTGCGTGTGAGTGTGTGTGTGAGTGAGTTTGAGTGTGTGTGCGTGTGCGTGTGAGTGTGTGTGTGTGTGTGTGTGTGTGTGTGTGTGTGCGCGTGCGCGTGCGGGTGTGTTTCATGTCTGAGAGTTTATGTATATTCTGTATATTATCACATACGTTTAGACAGGTAGCAGATACTCTTTAGAAGAATAAAAAGATGCTTTTATATATAAAACAGGAAACATAGCTATTTATCTATGATAAAATACATGTAATTTATTTTTTTTCTTCTTATATGGATCAGTTACTGTCTTTGAAAAATTCAAGATCAACTTGTTGCTATACATATATATTGCTTTGTTATGGAATAAACAGTGTGTGCAGATTTTACAACAATTATTATTCATAATAAACCAACCTAAAACCATACTACTGTTTTGTCATCTATGCAGAAGTTTCAGTGCTGTAACTGATGATTCCATATCATTAACCAGGCCTAAATGTTAATATAATTATTTTTTTATTATTACATAAAGGTTACCGATAATTGCACAATAAGTCAAGTTACTCCTGATGGGATAAAAAATTCTAGCATCATTTATTTGCAAATGACATTTGAAATGCAGTGACAATCACAAATCATTGTTGTGGCCACTGTATGTGGAAAAATAGTAATACAGCTTAAATCAATAGCTAAACTAACACTATATAATGATATAATGTAAATGAATGATAGTATCGAAAGTTCTTATCACTTATTGAACGCAAGACAAAACTTTTCAGGTGTATTTCTATCGTCACCTCTACACTACTCGACTGCAATGCTGCAATCTCTTCAGCAGAGGACAGTGTGCTACCGCGCGCTCTGCTCGTTCAGCTGCAATCAAGCTAGATCTTGACCCTGCCTGAGATGATGCAGCAGAAGAGAAGAGGAGGGTCTGGATCTGGGGGCACTGGAGGCAGATGGTGACCTTTTCACAGTAAATCTCTATGACACCTGTCACATCCCAGCAGGCGCATGTGGGTCAAGGGGCTCCGAGTGAGAGCGCAAGGGTTAAAATGTCCCACCGTTTCGGTTGTAACACACTAATAGTTACATTTGTTATTAATAATAAGCAGGATAAACAATTTATATATATATATATATATATATATATATATATATATATAGAGAGAGAGAGAGAGAGAGAGAGAGTGCTGTCTAACGATTAATCGCGATTAATCGCAACCAAAATAGAAGTTTTTGTTTACATAATATATGTATGTGTAATGTGTATATGTATTTGTATATATAAATACACACACATCATATATTTTGAAAATATTTACATTTATATATTTATACTATTATATTTTATTATGTGATATATAAATATGTTTAATATATAAACATAACATATTTTTCTTAAATATATACATGCATTTGTTTGTATTTATATATACATAATAAATATACACAATACACACTCATATATTATGTAAGTATGGTTATATATATATATATATATGGTGCATTAGCTTTCTTAGGCTGTCAAATTGCATAACATTCTAATACATAAATACATTTATATTTTAAAGTCGCATGCTTACTGTATCTATTTTACAAAGGCTTTTTCATCCATTTAGATATCCGGAGCTGTCTGTTTTATAAATCCTCTTCTAACATTAAATTGCGTTTTGATGAGCTGCCTGGATACATTAGTTAACGACGCGTGATGTTCTAGACATTGTAAAGTTGTGCAGTTGTAAAGCGTGCGTAACTTCAGCACCACGGTCAGAGCTCAGCGCGAGAACAATGGGAGCTTCAGGGACTGTCAACCAATAACACCATCTCATCCAAAACACAAACTAACACCTTACACCATCACAGGTGTGCGAGATTAAAGGGATAGTTCATGCAAAACGAGAATTTGCTGTTTATTTTTACTCACCCTCAGCCATCCAAGATGTAGCTGACTTTTCTTCAGTAGAACAGTAAAGATCTTTAGCTGAAATTGTGGTCATTGGTGATTCATAAAATGCAAGTCAATGACTACCGGCAGTTGAGTCAAAGAGCATATGCAGGCAATGCAAATTTAAAGGGCACCTATTATGCCCCTTTTTACAAGATGTAATATAGGATTGTGTGCGGCTCACTCAGGGCGGGGTCTCGGCTAGGTGTCAATCAACACTCGTGGGCGGGGCTTGAGAATTGTGACGTCACACTTTACGGATTCTGTGATCGGCTTGCTCTGAGACGCCGCTCATGATATATGGAGATTTAAAAAAAGGAGCGGGTGGATTTTTATCATTATAGGGTGCTCGTGTACACACACTGCTGACACACATTTATGTGCAAACAACATGTGAAAGTGAATTTTGCATAATAGGTGCCCTTTAATACCCGTGGCTCCATATGAGGTCTAATGAAGTGAAACAATCAGTCTGTGCAAGAAATTCAGGGCTCTATTTTTTCTGCCGGTGCACTGGTGCGAACACCACATTGTTCAACTAAAGCATGAAATAAACAAGAAATTAACATGTAATATTATTAGTAACTGCATTTATCAATGCAAAACAATATAGTAATTTTATGATTAAATTATATATATTTTTAATACTCCCACACCACCGCCCAGCGCTACCAAATCTGCTCCTGGTGCCTCCATCTGCAGAACTTAGTGGCGCTAGTGCCACCTCATGTTAACATTTAATGTATTTGTTTAGTTGTTTTTGTACTGGACACATAATTTGTTTGCATCTATGAATGTGTTCTTGTAATGAGTAATGTCATATCCCTCTGAAATTAAAAGAATACTGCACATTGCAATTTCTGTGCATTCGGGTGAAATATCATTTTAAGGGGCTTGAGCTTCCTCAAAATGAATTAAAACAAAAAGGGGTCTGAAAAGTAAGTTTTTTTCTAGTATAGCATACTACTAGTGTGCTACAGCATTCTCAATGAATGAACCATAACAGCTTGAATCATTCAGAGTGTGCTACTGTGCATGAGATGATCTGGAACAACACTCTATCGCTGTATGCTGCGCTGATAAAACATGCATAACTTATAACTTCCCTAATGATACTGATTGAAACGAGTCTGTGTTGTTTTAACGGAGCTGTAAGTTGCAGACGTCCCCTGCCCGTTACACCGCGAGCTTGGCGAGCGCTCGTGAGAGGGACGCACCGGCGTTAATAGGAAACCAGAGCAAATACACATAGTAAACCGCGCGGAATGAGATGCGAGGGATAACACGAGTGCATTGTTTTATAGCTTGCATCACAATAGCAGGACATGATACCGGCAGAAACTGTGATTTTACGAGCTCGGTTGAACGAAATCGTGTGTGAGAGGCAGTGAGTGGAGGGGATCATCCGAAGATTGTGATAATAAAGACATCCCTCTAGGTGAGCTGTTTTCGGTCTTTATCAGTGTGTGTGTGTTCCTCTCGTGTGAACGTGGACCGTTATCCGTTACCGGAGACGGACAAAGAGCTCCAGAGCCTCCTCCGCTTAAACAAAGGATGCGCTCGTTCATACTATACGCGTGCGCTTATTTACATCGAGCACCGTTATTAAAGATCTGCCATCATTCTGGAAACCACAGCCGTCTTTGTTCTGTCGAGCGTGTAAAGATGCCTTATTGTTTTAGTTGCTATTTAATGGATATGTATAATTGCTGGCAATCGCAAGCGCTTGTGTTGTATTGTTTCTCGTTATTGTTCAGAATGCAGAGCTGTAATGCATAATTTGTGCTTTTTTTTTTGTTCATTTAATTATGAAATAGTCCAGTTTGTATGCTTCTGTTTTAATACAGGAAGAACCACAGTAAAGGAATGAAAGATGCACTGTTTTGTAACCTAATTGGTTTTATTTAAGTCAGATATATAGGTCACACCAATGAGGTCCTTTTAAAGGGTCGGATTTTGGGGTACAGTAGCCTGTATTTATTTACTTTTTACAGTACCAGGTAACTCTTTACAATGTTATGAACTACCAATGAACAATACCCAGCATTTATTAATCTTGGTTAATGTAAATTTTTACATATCCATATTAACAATACAAACAAACAGTGTATTTTATAAATTAGTGATAACCAGGGTGGCTACATAAATACAAAGTATTGTTACAGTGTCCTTGTTATAACGCAATTATACATTTAACTGCATGTACTTACTATATTGTTAGGGTTAGTCAAGTCAAGTCAAGTCACCTTTATTTATATAGCGCTTTTAACAATACAGATTGTGACAAAGCAACTGAACAGCATTAATTAGTAAAATAGTGTGTCAATAATGCAGAAGGACAATAGTAAACACTCATTTTTCAGTTGAAGACAGTTCATCATTGAATTCAGTGATGTCATCATCCAGCTCAGTTTAAATAATATCTCTGCAATCATGTCAACGATAGGCTAAGGCAAACGACTAGGGCTAAGGCAAACGACTAGGGCTAAGGCAAACGACTAGGGCTAAGGCAAACGACTAGGGCTAAGGCAAACGACTAGGGCTAAGGCAAACGACTAGGGCTAAGGCAAACGACTAGGGCTAAGGCAAACGACTAGGGCTAAGGCAAACGACTAGGGCTAAGGCAAACGACTAGGGCTAAGGCAAACGACTAGGGCTAAGGCAAACGACTAGGGCTAAGGCAAACGACTAGGGCTAAGGCTATGGCTATGGCTATGGCTGAGGCTATGGCTGAGGCTATGGCTAAGGCTATGGCTAAGGCTATGACAAGGGCTCCGTAAGGTAGCTATCTCTAGGAGAGTGATAAATGCTGAAACAATACTCGGCAGAGGGAAGGGATCAGAGTGAGTGTTAAATAGTGAGGGAGTGATATGAAACAGCTGGGTGCAATCAGTGTAAACAGGTGTGTGCAATTCGTGCTGAGTGCAATCAGTGCAATGCATGATGGGAAATGTAGTCCGGGGTGCTATGCAACAGTTTGTGTGGTGCGAGAGTCAATGAAAAGGAAAGTTCATGGACCGGATTCGTGACAGGCGTACTGTCTTTTGGTCCAATAAGTAATATCTCTGTCTTATCCGAATTTAATAGGAGAAAATTATTGGTCATCCATTCTTTTACATTTTTAACACACTCCGTTAGCTTAGATAATTTAGAAGTTTCATCTGGTCTTGTTGAGATATATAGTTGAGTATCATCGGCATAACAGTGGAAACTAATCCCGTATTTCCTAATAATATTACCAAGTGGCAACATGTATATCGAAAATAGCAGAGGACCTAGGACAGATCCTTGTGGCACTCCATATTTTACTGGTGATAATTGAGATGACTCCCCATTTAAATGAACAATGTGGTAGCGATCGGACAGGTAGGATCTAAACCATCTTAAAGCCTGCCCTTGGATACCTGTATAGTTTTGTAACTATATAGTTTTTGTAGGGTTAGGATTTGGTTTAGGGTTACATGCATATAACTATGCATAATATTTTGTTATTATAATAGTAAGTACATGTAAAAGGGCACCTTAAAATACCAGTATTGTTTATTGTCAGTTCATGATAACTAATGCATTAATATTAACATAGAATAACACTTTTATATCACGTAAATGTCTCAAAAATGATGCATCAATTGAAGATCCATTCATTGTTTTGATCACAGCCCGCCTCCGCAGGCAGCATCCACAGCTCCATCCTCTCTCTCCCGCTCACTCTCCGCACGTTCATCTCGCCTCTGACTTTCTCCAAACATCGACCCAATGAAGGAGCCCGACGCCATCAAACTCTTCATCGGGCAGATCCCACGCAATCTGGAGGAGAAGGACCTCAAGCCCATCTTTGAGCAGTTCGGCAAGATCTACGAGCTGACTGTGATCAAGGACAAGTACACAGGCGTGCACAAAGGTAAGGAGACGCATGAGTTCACGCTTCAGGAGGGGACGGGGCTGAGCGTTTCTCAGTCACGACTCGCATGTGTAGAGTGCATTTGAATAAACAGTGTGATTGAACCCTTTCTTTACAGTGGTATTCGTTTGCGTGCTCATGCTACACTCTGAATGTGATTTGTTCTAGCTTCTGAAGTGTTTATCACTCACATACAGAGGCATCGTGCAGTGCATTTTCTTGCAGTGCAGTATTATTTTAGTGCATTTAGTGAATGTGTGTATATGAGTGATGTTTTTGTCATGGGCTGGGCGCAAGTAGCACCAGCACAAGCGTGACGGTGCACAGCATGAGTTCTGCGTTACTATAAAAAGGGACAGTATGCTGTAAATACCAGGAAAGCTCTCTCACCGTCTCTCTGTTGTCGTCTTCATGAACTTCTCTTGCTTTCTGTGGTTGAGTATTAGGTTTCCACTCTGTGGTGTAACTCTCGCAGTGTTTGCTTGCGCTGAATGAACCCTGTTCGGGGGCTTGACCGGGATTTAATCATGTGGCTTTCTTAGTGGTTTAAGGTCACTGAGGTGATAAAAGAAGAAAGTGTGCACCCGTGCATTAAAAATATGCTACTCACTCTCAAATTCATATGAATTTATTTCCTTTGTGGAACACAAAAGGTGAATTTTTGAAGAAAATTGGGTATTTTGAAGAAAATACACAGTCCACATCTTTTCCGATTAAGGCCAGGAAGTGGTCATCATCATGACTCATGCACTATAGTCCTCTGAAGTCATGATGAGTAAGTAGTTACTCACTAAAATCTTTGTGGCAGCTTTCAAATCACGTGTGCTGGCATCTTAATGCATGGTTTCTCCTTCTGGAGCATCAGTGAGCATTTGAACCTTCTGTAATAGTTGCGTATGAGTCCCTCACTTGTCCTCAGTGTGAAAAGATGCATCTCAAAATCATACAGTCATTGTTGGAAAGGGTTCAAATACACAAAAATGCTGGAAAACAGAATATAATCAAATTTAGTTCAAAATATTAACAAACACAATGTTAGTATATCAAAGATATTAAAATCACACTGCCTCAAACACACACACTGTTCTATAGAGGCATTTGTTGCGTTGCTTTCTGGTTTGCATGTGCTTTTACACGTAGAGTTTCCAATCACAGAAACGAAGGCATAAGCTGCCGCCTGATTTCTTTGTAGCTTTGTGTGTGTGTGTGTGTGTGTGTGCGTGTGCATGTTTATGTGGTTTATGAGGACACAAATTTGTATAATAACATGGGTATGACATAGGTATTACAACAAGAAGGTGATTTATGAGGACATTTTCAGTGTCCCCGTAATTCAAAAGGCTTATAAATAATTCAGAATGAGTTTTTTTGAAAATCTAAAAATGCAGAAAGTCTCCTGTGAGGGGTAGGTTTAGGGGTAGGGTTGGTGTAGGGCTATAGAAAATACGGTTTGTACAGTATAAAAACCATTACGCCTATGGAGAGTCCCCATAAACCATAAAAACAAACCTGCGTGCATGTACGTAAGTGCGTACGTGCGTGCGTGCGAGTGTGTGTGTGTGTGTGTGAGAGAGAGTGTGTGAGTGTGTGTGGTGTGTGTGTGTGTGTGTGTGTGTGTGTGTGTGTGTGTGTGTGTGTAAGAGAGAGAGAGAGAGAGAGAGAGAGAGAGAGTTCAGGGTGAGCTATCCCAGAAGCCTCACTGGGAAAATGTAATGAGTGTGAAATTACATTTCTGTCATTCATCATGTGTAATCATGCTGCATATAATCTATAAGAAGTACAGAAAAAACTACTTGAAATTGAATTTCAATTAAAAATGTAGGTCATTGCTTAATGAATTAATACAATTCAAAATATTTTAATATGATTGATAATGATAATAATTTTGCATGAATGAAAATTATGTCTATTTATATAAATAAAAACTCTGCAAACATAAACTGTCAATGAATACTAACAGTGTCTCTCTGTCTTAGGATGTGCCTTTCTGACGTATTGTGCACGGGAGTCAGCCATTAAAGCACAAAGTGCTCTTCATGAACAGAAAACCCTGCCAGGGGTGAGTCCTTTCTGTGTGTGTGTGTGTGTGTGTGTGTGTGTGTGTGTGTGCACAACAGGACATTTGTTGGATGTTTAGTTGACTTTGGTCAGCAGTAGTGATATAACACCGCATCTCTCTCTGTGTGTCTCTCTGTGAGTGCACTTCTGCTTTTATACTCATCACTGCTGCATCACATGCTCTTTGTGTACGTTTTAGGAGTAAAGTCCTGTTCACACCAAGAACAATAACTATAATAACTAAATAACAATTAATAACTATAGCAATAACTATATTAGTGGCCACACCAATGGATAACTGCAACCTGGCGAATCATGATGAAAACGTACCTCTAGGAACTTTTTCACAAGACACAAAATACTTACCGCCATCGTGACATATTCGATGTGAAATGTCCTCTGGGTGGTGCTAAAAGAGTGTTCGTATTTTCCCCGGAACAGATGAACGTGCATATGGTCCGTTTTATGCGACGTTGCTACTGTACGTGTCACTGCATGTCCGTTGAGTGGCGCTATAACTCTAATGCTCCGCGATGTTTTAAAATAACGTACCATCTGCACTAAACCTACTCGATAGTATGAACAAAAGTGAATGTGACGAAAAACGCAATTGCAAGCATGCCGTTTTAGCTTGTTTTTCGAGATCTCATCTTTCAGCTCTTTCATCGTGAGTCACGTTTTTAACGGGATTCGTACCCAAAGATTCAGTATCCTAAGTTCAACTGACCGTTCGCAAAGAAATTGATTGACAGGCGATCTGACCAATCATAACGCCAAATCTTGTCTGACAGCTACGACCGGAAACTAACAATAAATAAAATGTTCTACCTATTAGATTGTAATATCTATATTTGCGTCCGCACCAACACACGATGACTGTAATGATAACTATAACAATAACTCTGTTCACAACAATGGATGATATCTATAATGCTAATTATATTAGTGTCCACACCTACTGACAATAACTATAATGATAACTATATAAGCATCCTTATCAATGGACGATAACACTCTGTTAATTATAAGCGAGTGCAGTTCTGCCATAAATGCTTAAGCTCTTCAAATTCGGTAGATTCTGATTGGCTGCCAGTGTTTTTATCATTCATCAGCTCGAAAACAAATTGCTCTGAAAGTGATTCCAACGATACTATTACAAATGTGTAGTTATATTTATCGCTGTAAATCTTTGTTGTGAACAGGCCTTAACAGTCACACATTTTGCTATTTCTGATCATTTAGAAATAGTATAAAGTTCTTGCGTGAATTATTGTGTGTGTGCCTATTTAACTACACTGTAGTTTGAATTTTTATGTTTTCTGTTAGCACTGAGGTTAGAACAATAGAAATATATGGAAGGCCTCCATTGGGATACATAAGTAAATTTGTATGTGTGTGTGTGTGTGTGTGTGTGTGTGTGTGTCTGTGGTGAAGCATGTTTATGTTTTTATGAAAGCATATATCATTAGCTAATTACACTTTGGAAGGGGGGGGGGGGTTGGGGTTGTAATAAAGGGGGGGTTGGAGTTGTAAGGACATAAATCAAACACACATTAGTCTAAATGTAATTAGTGGCCTTTAAGCACACTGTGCTTTTCATCTGAATCTGAACACACACACACACACACACAAGCGTGCAAACTGCTTATAGAAAACAACTTGCATGCACTACCCAGCCCTAAAATGAATTTACATTTAAATTATATAGTTATATTCATGGCTCCCGTTACCAAAAAGTAGCATACTTCAAGTTTATATTATTAAGTATACTTAAGTAAAGTTCAAGTATATTTTTAAGTATACTTTATGTAGTAAATATACAAATATCAGTGTACTAGTAGTATACTTGTAAGTGTACTATTTCAATACTCATTGGGACTAAATAGGCCCACTTTCTAGTATATAAAAGTATACTTTAAGTATAACAGTAGTAAACTTTGAGTACACTACTAGTTTACATCTATGTTTTTAGTTTGTACTGCAACTATTCTAAAAGTGAACTTATAGGTACACTGATAGTTTACTAATTAAATACTTGTAGCATTTTTAGTACACCTTGAAGTATAGTCTCAGTAAACTACTAGTTTAGTAGTTTTATACTGCAAGTATACTCGTAAGTGAACTTTACATCATACTTTAAGTATACTACTCTGTCCCTATTTAGGTATTAATTTGTCTATATTTTGTTATATAAATATCTGAACATACAAAACATCAAAAGAACAGGGTTATCGGCTTGTAAACAAAAACATTTTATTCTAGCTTCATGCATTCTTTTTTTAAACACTTGAATGTGGGTAAGTTTCATAAATAAAAAATAAACAAATAAACAACATTTTGAACAATACTAATGACCAATTAAACCAATTAGACCAATTAAAAAGATTAATTGGATTCATTTTATTCCATAAGGTTACACAGTTTTGATGCTGTTTTATGTCTGATG